AAAGAGCTCATCCCTCCATATAGGGCAATTGTGGTCTGGCTGTCCGAGCTCTGTGGGCAAATGGGTGGCTGGGTTCAGAGCTCTGACTGGCTGGAAAGTGAGTGAAGGATTTCCGACAAGCAGTCCCCAGTGCTGGGTGCTGTGGCCGTTCAAGAGCCAGCGGTGTCCCTGACTGTTGAGAGGCTGGCTCACAGCGTGAGGCATCTCCACAGTCAGGTTCTGGCCCAAAGTACATTTGTTTGCCTCCTGAACCAAGAGGGAGGTAGCAGCAAGTGGCTGCAAACAGGGAGGCCGTCCTTTCCCTTTCGGTACTGAGGGTCCACTGTTTAAATTAAGACTCCTGAAGCAACATGATGTCTTTTATCAACAAACAGTTTGAAGGGGCAGTCACGTCTGGGATTCCTAGGGCCACAGCTTCCTTCCAAAGTGCAGTTAATTACCTTTCTTTTTCTTTTCTTTTTTTTTTTTTTTTTTTGTCTTTTTCCTTTTTATCGGTACTGGGGATCGAACTCACAACCACCTGCTTGCAAGGCAGGTGCTTAAGCCGCTGAGCTAAATCCCCAGCCCCAATTACCTTTCTTTTTGTTGTGGCTTTCTTTTTTTTTTTTTTGGTTGGTACCAGGGATTGAACTCATGACCTCGCACTTGCCAGGTCAGTGCTTATGCTGCTGAGCTAAATCCCCAGGCCCATGCATGCTGTAGGCTTCTTTAGCATATAATAGAGTGGCCTTGCTTTTTTAGTAAACTCAGGAATTAGTATCCTACATCTGACCGCCCAAGGAATTCTCTAAATTCCCTTTCGCAATCAGGCCACAGAATGGAGTAGATGATTTCTTGCCCTTCTGAGCCCAAGTTTCAGAGCCCTTGTTTTAAACCAAATCCTAAATATCTGACTTTTTGTTTACAGATTTGAGCCTTAACTCCATCTAATCAATAAGCTGTTATACATACGTACTTAACCACTTTTGTAAGCTTTCCCGATGTACATAAGCTTTTTATCTATTTATTTATTTTTACATAAACTTTTCAGTCTTTTTTTTTTTCTCTTTTTATCTCTTTAGCAGAACAAGAGTTTTATCATACAGAATCCTCTCATATCAAAAGTATATCTCTTACATTTATGGCCTTCTTAATATCTTTTTTCTTCTTACTATAAACCTTTTACAATGGACTTGGCTGTAGCTGCTTGAATTTTTTTAAATTTTATTTTTAAGGTAGTAAAATACAACAGAATAAGACAGAACAAAGCCAATCAAGACAATGCAGTGAGACTAGTACAGAACCTCAGGGCAGGATACCAGGATAACAGTAATAGCTACCATAGTATATCTCGTTATCTTCACAATAGTTGTCCTTTCAATTAGGTGTAGCGAAATCAAACCAAAAATAGAACATTATAAAACCAATTGAAAGAGAATGTTGAGTAGAGCAAAACAATTTATCAGAACAAAGCACAACAGTGAAAACAACATTTGCCTTCTAACAGAAAATAGAAGGAAATCCCTCATATTTGCCACACTGCACATGGTCATCCTCCCGAAAGATGCCCCCAGGCCGGGGGTGGGGTGGGATGTTTGATTCTCAGCCTACCGGCTGGTAGGCTCACAACAGACACAGACTGGCCCTCTTCCCGGCCTGTGCCAGAGGCACCCACCAGGAAGGGAGGCAAACTGTGCTCTTGCTCTAGCTGCTTGAATTTTAAAATGTCTTTTTTTTTTTCCAGATAGTAAACTTGAGTGATCACTAACAGAACTCTGAGTAATCTTGAATTAGTATTTTTATTTTTAATTTATTTATTTACTTATTTGGTCTTTTTGAAACAGGGTCTTGCTATGTAGTGCAGGCTGGCCTTGAACTTACTTTATAGACCAGGCTGGTCTCCAATTTACAATGATCTTCCTGCCTTAGCCTCCCAAGTGCTAGGATTACAGGCATGCACCACCATGCTCCAGCTGCTTTTAAAAGAACAGAGCCCAGAGCAAGTTAACCCTATAATTTCCATTTACCCCAGGAGGGAGCTGTCTCAGGTTCCAGACATTTGCAGGCAGCACCAGGCTGAGTAAGAGCTGGCCTTGGGGTTCCAGGAACTGGGGGAGACCCTGGGCCCTGTCTCATTTTGCATTGTCTTTGAAATGGAAAGTGACCCTTGTCTTGTTTAATCTCCAATCTTAGCAGTCCACTGGGTCAGCTGGCTGCTCAGTCATTTTACGATTAGCCTGCCTGTAGTGCCCACCTGTACATTCTGGTACACTAAAGTTAGGCAGCTTTTTATGTCTTTATTACACTGCAGGTCATTTTTTTTTAAATGAAGACCAAGTGGAAATTGTGGGTGGGTATGGAGTGGCATCTGCAGATGAGATGAGTGGAGGCAATGACTGGCCAGATTAGGTTCTGGTGAGCTAGACAGGGTGCAAAGTGGTGGATGTCATGTGACCAGCATAGGCATGCAAGGGCAGAGGTACAGCAGAGGGCTCCACTGGGTGGGGGCGTACATGACAGATCACAGACAATGACTGACTGAATTCTTTGGAGTCGAGGGTGGACAGACAGGCCAGCATGGTATCAGACAAACAGGTGGAGGCTGGCAGCAGAAGGACTGGTAGCTGGAACTAGTTCAATTGGCTGGGAGTAGTCAGGAGCAGGAGGGGGAAGGCTGGTGGATAAAGGATGATACATTCGTTGAGGAGAAATCCTCAGGAAGAATGGGATTTGTTGAACAGTTTTGTTTAAGAACAGAGCCAGTTTGGTTTCATTTTAACTTTGTAATCACCAGAAAAGGCCTTTTTAAAAAATAATTCCTTACGATATACTCCACAAGGATTTAGCTCAGTGGCATAAGTGCCTGCCTGACAAGTGCAATATCCTGAGTTCAATCCCCAGTTAAAAAAAAGAAGAGGAATTGGGGATTTAGCTCAGCGGCATAAGCGCCTGCCTTGCAAGCACGCAGTCGTGAGTTTGATCCCCGGTACCGATAAAAAGGAAAAAGACAAAAAAAAAAAAAAAAAAAAAAAGAAGAAGAAGAAGAAGAAGAAAGAAAGAAAAAAATATATATTCCATCCTGTCTCTCTGCAGCATATGTAATATGCCCTTGCATGGTGGTGTGGAGATTCAGGTTACGGCTCAGTCAGACTCTGCAGCTCTAAACTGGAGGGCGGATGCTTTCACTGTGGAGCACAAACGTAACTACCTATTGCTACCTCTTCTGTTACAAACACTCACACAATTATTCAGCTGGCATGCAGAGGATGTTGCCCCTAAACCCTGGGGCAAAGTCTAACTGAATCCAAGACCGAAGCTAATTGTCCTAATACCGGTTGCTAGCACAGGCTTTGAGGAGGTCTTCATTTCATCCACAAAGGAGATGGAGCCAACAAGCTGAAACTGACCAGCTGAGGGACACCTGCAGGCAACCCTACCTCACCTGAGGCCTAGACCACGTTGCATTCAACATCCTTAGGGTCCAGTGAGGTCACTGCTATCGCACAGGGGCCCCCACTCCTGGATCAAGGAGACTCCAGGAAAAGGACTGGAGGGCACACCTTCTTATCTGCAGACTGCAGGGTGAGTCCCTGTCGCAGTCAGCAGGCTTCCACCAGTGACCCAAATGTGTCAGCACAATGTCTTCCCAGCCAAACATTTGCACCAAGAAATGGGGAAGAAACAGGACCAAATCAGGTGGAAAACATGTAGGCACCAGAGTTGGAACGCAACTCTCTGTTACACTATCGGGCCAAGGGAAACTGAGTTCCAAATCCTCAGCCCTGCCTTGGGGTTAAACAGACATTTATATATGTTTTACACAAGAAATATGACAGGATGATAGCAGGTTATTTATAATTGGTTACTTTGTTATCACAAGCATAGCACATTATATGAGATATCGAGGCAAGGTCTTGATGAACATTTTGTTATTATCCCTGGTCACAGATGAGCACACTGACCACGACTCTTTGGGGAATAAGCAGTGGGTTTGGAGAGTGTTTCTGTTTTCATTTTTCACTTAGCAAACATTTATTATTATTTTTTTTTTTATTTTTGTTTTTTGTGTTTTTTTTTTTTTTTTTTTTTTTTTGTCTTTTTCATTTTTATCGGTACCAGGGATTGAACTCATGACCGCCTGCTTGCAAGGCAGGTGCTTATGCCGCTGAGCTAAATCCCCAGCCCCTTTTGTTTTTTGTTTTTTTGTGTTTTTTTTTTTTAGCAAACATTTATTATTTACATCTCTGACCTCAGCATCATGCCCTGCATCTAAGGGCACTCAGTAAAAAAGGGTGATGCTGATGACAAAAATCTTTTAACAACAGAAGGAGGGCCAGGAGAGCTGGAGATGAGAGGAAACAAAGCGATGGTGACAACTACAATGAGCCAGCATACAAGATCCTACTGATGTGCCTACATCGGCACCCCCTCCTTCCAAGCCCCCCAAGAAAGTGCACATCAGTTGCCAACTGTGTTCAGAGGGAACAAGAAGACCAGTGCTATGGCCACTCTGAAGGGCAGCAGGGAAAAGCTGAGGTATACGGAGGAGGGATGGGCCAGGCAAACTCTGTATGCACTCTGACACATACACACACAGCTATAACGTGTATTCACACACGAGTGTGTATACATGACCCTGAATCTTCAAAACAAAACAGAAAAGGATCAGGATCCTAACACCTCACCAGGCTTTGATAAACATCCTTTGCCATCCCTTTCTTTTTAAATTTTTATTTAGTTAGTGTTTTGCTTGTATTTTTTTTTTGAGTCAAGCTCTCATGACGTAGCCCAGGCTGGCCTCAAATTCACCGAGATCCTCCTGCCTCAGCCTTCCCAGTACCAGAACCACAAGTGTGTGCCGCCCTTCCCTGTGTTTAATTTTTATTTTCATCAGTATCTGTTGCAGTATACGATTACATTAATCACGAGAGATGGGGCTTGCTAGCTGTACGCCTAGCTTATCTGTGCGAATGAACGACCTTATCTTTTCCTTTGGGCCCCTTGCTAACTCAGATACCCACCTTTTTTCCTTCTGCTCTACTCCCTTGAATTTCGGACTCTCTGCTTTCCAGAACCAGCCTCTCAGGACCACCCTCGCCTCTGCCGTGGCCCCCAGTCTGCTTCACCTTCTCTTGCGACCTGTAGCTTTCGCCCCTTTGGCCAGCTGAAGCCTCCATCGCAAGCAGGTACGCTCCAGCCTGGCTCCTTGAGATCTCTCTGGTTTCCGACCTACTGTTCCTGAGACCTGAGCAGCCCCTGGGTGGGTAGCTTGGCTCCAGAACTCTGAGCAAAACCATGGCAACGGACAACACAGAGCACAGTCCCCCTACTCCCGGATCCCCGTGCCCGCATTCCTAGGCCACGTGCTGGCCTGGACACTGATCAAGGGAACGGAGCGCTCGGACCTCACAGCTTCCCGGAAGAGGGTGGCTCTTCTTTCAAGGGGCTGGTCCGTGGCTGCTGACTGTAAATCTCCGCGAGGCATCTGAAGTACTTTTCCTGCTTGTGTACTAGTCCTGTCTCTTCGGTTCCACCAGGGGGCACCCCGGCTGCAACATTCAGCGGCCCGGAAGCGTGAAATCCAGTGACCCTCCGGAGCCGCGCCTCTTCGATCCCCTGTGACGGCCACGCAGTTAAAACTGTGTGTGCGCGCGTGTGCGTGGGGTCCAGGGTTGTTTTTAAGGGCGGCGCGCGGGAATACTGGCCGGTATGCTTCAGTGCCCCGGGTCGGTCCCGGCTTGGAAGCCTTTCCCAGAGGAGCGGCCGCAGGAGCCCTGTCCTCTGCCTTAGATCGGGGGCGGGGGCGGGGGTTCCGTGAGATTCCGGCCGATCGGGAGGGACAGCGGTGGCGGCGTCCGGGGCCCCGGCTGGCTCCCACGCTCCCAGCTGCCTCGCCGGGGCGCGCGTCTGCAGCAGTGCGCGCCGCGGGCCGCCTTCCCACGACCGTTACAGCCTCGGTTTCCCCACGTAAGCCACATCTCCTTTCCTGGAGCCCCGGGTCGCGGCGCCAGCACTTTTTCAGGGTCCTCACGGGCTGCGGCGCAGTTTTCCTTCCCAGGAGACCCCGCTCCCGCCCTGCCTCCACTGGAGCCTTGCAGGCGGCCGACCCCGCCCCCTCTCGCCACCTAGCGGCCGTCTCGGGACAGGACGCGGGCTCGCCGCCCTGGCGGGGACGGGGCCTGGGGGGGGATTTGGACGAGATCCGTTGTGTCCCAAGACTCATTTTAATCTGTCCTCTGTCACATCGTGTTTAGGAAATATCTTCTTCTTTTTTGCGGGGAGGAGGTGGGGATAAAATTACCATCTTCAAACTAGAAGGTTTGTTCTCTGAGCACTGATTCAGGATTATCCTGGTGCAATCAAAGATAATTATGTTGGTAAGAGCAAGGGATAAGAAGTCCTTGCTGTGGTTTTATTGGGAGCTATAGTTGGTAAGCAGTGTACCCCACTCCCAAAAAAATTTTTTTTGCACCGAGGATGGAACTCATGACTTCACACTTGCCAGGCAGGCGCTTGTGCCAATGAGATAAATCCCCAGCCCCACGGTCTTGAAATATTAAAAGCACATTGTCTTTGACCCGCCTGTTCTCCTTGTAGGTATTAATGCTAAAGAGAGATGATGAGGACTGCTGCAATAGTGACATATTAAGCCGGGCTTGGTGGCACACACCTGCAATCCCACAGGTTTGAGGCCAGGCTACTCCAAGTGAGGCCCTGTCTCACAAAACAAACAAAAATAAAAAAAACACCCCGATATATTTATTTGCTTCTGAGACAGGGTCTTGCTTTATAGCCCAAATTGACCTCAAATTCGCACTGATCCTCCTGCCTCAGCCTCCCGAGTGCTGGGATTAGAGGCATGCACCACTACACCTGACTAACAGTGATTATTTCAGAAGCAATTGAAATGTGATATTTCTATAAAGGCATTAAAATCTACTTTATACTTACTCACATAGAAATAGCCAGTAAATCAGCATGCAGTGGTGTTAAGGTTTGGATCTATGATGTGCCAAAAGCTCTTGTGTGGAGAGATGAGGCTCTTGGAAGCGATTCCATGGTTAATACTCTAACCAGTGAACCCGTTAAACGAGAACGCTATGGTGGGGAGGCAGTGGAAATGGGAGGCTGGGCCTAGTAAGGCACAGGCTGTGGGGCTGTGACCCTGGCTGCCACAGCTAAGTGGCTTTCCCCACTGCACTCTTCTGCCTGATGATCTGCCTCATCTTGGTCCCACAGCAATGGGGCTGTCACTACATCCTGATGTCCCACTTTTGATTACACCCTATATGCATTGAAACGAGGCTTTTTTTTTTTTTTTTGAGTTGTGCAAAGTTTTATTATGCAGTTCAAACTGGCCTTCAACTCACAAGAGTCCTCCCGCCTCAGTCTCCCAAGTGCTGGGATTACAGGTGTGCTCCATCATGCCCAATTGAAACAAGTCTTGAAGGATACACTTCAAAATATTAAGGGTGCTTTTTCACTGTCTTTGTGTATTGTCTGCATTTTAAGACAATGATGAATATGCTTTACTTTTATAGCCCAAAAAGAATGTTTTTAAAAGCTACTCATAAGACTAAATATCATTTAAAATGTTATATATAACACTGCTTTAAAAATACGACACAGGGCCAGGGATTTAGCTCAGTGGGATAAGTGCCTGACTGGCAAGTGTGAGATGAGGTAAGTGCTATCCCCAGCACCAAAACAAAACAAAAACAGTACAAAATCAAGTGTGGTGGTACACATCTACAATTCCAGCTACTGAGGAGGCTGAGGCAGGAGCATCACAAATTTGATGACAAGTCAAGTGTGGTGGCACATGTCTGTAATCCTAATCTTTGGGAGGCTGAGACAGGAGGATTACTGTGAGTTCAAGGCCAGCCTGGGCTACATATAGTGAATTCAAGGGCAGTCTGAATTACATAGTGGGACCTTATCTTAAAGAAAAGAAAGAAAGAAGAAAAATTAGCTTCCCATGAGCCGGACTCCACCAGGGGGATGAGAAAGAGACTCAACAGGAAGACTATCTTCCCACTTCCCAAGCAACTGGCTTATTTGGAGGAGTCGATAACAATTGAGGTGAAGGGAATAGCTTGATAGCCTGATGCTTGTGTTGTTTGACTGACTTTACAGGCCTGGGGTTGGTGGTCTGGCTTTTTTTTGTCTTTGAGACAGGTTCTCGCCATGAGGCGGGCTCACTTTGTAGCCCAGACTGGCCTGGAACTTGCAAGATCCTCCTGCCTTAGCCTTCTGAGTGCTAGGATTACAGGAGTGTGCCACTACGCCCAGCTCTGGGCATCTATTTGGAGGATGGCAATGCACATTGTGGCGACTGTGGTAGATTTCCTTCTCTCTTGTTTTTGAAATCCAATGTTTTGGCTGGTCCGATGGCAGTGGGTTATCAGAACTTATTAACATTACTGTCACTAAAGTTGGTATACCACCCCCCACACACACTGCTAAATTTGACTGGCTTTAAAAAAAAAAAATAGGGGCTGGGGATTTAGCTCAGCGGCATAAGTGCCTGCCTTGAAAGCAGGCAGTTGTGAGTTCGATCCCTGGAACCGATGAAAATGAAAAAGCCAAAAAAAAAAAAAAAAAAAAAGAAATCCAATGTTTTGCTCCATTTTACTGTTTTGTTTTATTTCTGTATCTGGTAACCTGGGAAGCTTCTTTGGAGATAATAATATGTAGTCTAACAACCATTATAAAATTCCTGTCATCTTGTTTTGAAAACTTGTATAGAGCTATTGTTGTTGTCATTGCTTTGCTTTGGTTGGTTTTTAGGTTTGTTTGCTGCTTCATTTTTTGTTTTTTCTTTAAAACAAAATAAATAAGTTAAAACAAAACACCCAAAAAGAACCAGTCAGATGATAGCCTTGGTAATTTAGTGAGACCCTGTCTCAAGATTAAAACCTACATTCTAGCTTATGCTCCTTCAAAATTGGGTCATGCATTAGTGCTAGATTCTAGAAATTTTCACTTCTCTTTCCACTCATCAGAGAAACAGACATTAAAAACAGAAATACAAGAAAGTAAACCTTTTACCCTGCACCTTTTTTTTTTTTTTTTTTTTGGTGCCAGGAATCAAACTCATGACCTCACATTTGCCAAGCAGGCACTTACACTGCTGAGCTAAATCCCCAGCCCCTACCTTGCACCTTTCTAACAGGGGACAACTATCTTGCCAAAGCTTTTTTGCCCTTTTCTCTGTTTCTCCCCACTCAGTCTCCATGCCAGTGTGACCATGTTTTTCTTCCCTGTGATGCTAACAGTTGAAGACCTTAGTCCGAAGGCACTTAGCCAATCAGAACACCATGTCTGTTAGGGGAGATAACCTGGCTAACAGTGTATCTACAGGGAGCCTCTGCTGGAAGAAGGGGCCCACATCCTGCTGCCTCCGGTCTGCTTTCTGGTCCTGTATCTATTAATGTGTCATAGGAATAACAGGTAAGGGCTCCATCTCTGTCAAGCCATGTAACAGGACACTGGAAAATGTCTGGCATCAGAGGGAGCGTGTGGAGAGCAACTTGGGAGGAAAAAGCTTATTTTGTATTAAATAATTTTTAATGGATGCAATATTAATCCTTACAGATGAGCAATAATCATTAAAGTCAATTAAAATTTAGTGATAAGACCAAAAAAAACCTCCTAGCATTTGGGAGAGTGAGACAAGAGGATTGCCCTAATTTCAAGACCAGCCTGGATTACATAGTCAGAGCTTGTGATGTCCCAACAAACTGGAAAAAAAAAAGCCGAGTATGTAATTCATTGTTCTCTGGGCTTAACCCTCTGGTAACCGCAAGAAAACAAAAGCAAACCCAAACAAGCCCAGCACGCGGAGGCTATGTACGACTCAACGTGGATGTGAATATAGACCAAGACTGGAAGAAAATAATGAAAAAGTGCGAGGAAGAGCTGAATATGTACACAAATCTATGCATGTGTGGCATAGTATATGTTCAAATACCAAATGCCTACTCCTCAAAGAGGGGCTGGGCCCCCAGCTGAGCCGTCCCTGTCTGTTCCTTCACCCCACCGCCCCCTCCAATCCCAGAGCCTACTCTGGATCGCTTCCCTGATCCTATAAAGGTTTCTTTATCAGCTTCAGAACGCAGCAGCCAGCAGCCGGAGGAGACAATTGAACCTCACAGCCCAGGAATAATGACTCAAACACAGCAAAACAAAACCCCATTGCCTGAGGGACGCATTCTTCACAGTGCAATTGGCCAGCATAAAATGACTCCACGGGGCAAGTCATTTAGTCAACACAGTTCTGCTCTGCAACATTCATTTTCTAAGCCACTCCCCCAGGCTAAAACTCTGCCAAATTCTGCGGGCACCTGGCAGGTGTGCCAGTGTGGAGTCAGGGCTTTCTGTGTGGCCACCCCAGCTGGCTGCAGCTTGGCAGGCACCAGTGGCAGAGACTGGCTTCCTAATCATCAGCTCCCCAGCCTCAGGTCTACACAGTAACACGTGGAGGCCATTGCACCCCTGGATTAAGTGCCTACAGAAAATGACTTTAGTGACTACACCTTACACTTTCCTAGTGGATGTGGAGATCTTGGTACCTGGAATCCAATTCAGGACCTTGCATTTGCCAGGCAGGTGCTGTTCTGCTGGGCTACATCCCTGGCCCTGAAGATCTGTCTGTCTTGCTCTGGGTTTGACAGTGGTAGAAATATTTTAGTCCCCCAAACACTTCTTCTATATCCTTTTCCTTTCTTTCTTTTTTTTTTTTTTTTTTTTTTTTTTTTTTGTACTGAGGATTGAATTTAAGGCCTTTACACTGAGTTTCCTATCCAGTATTTTCTATTTTTTTTTTTTTTTTTTTTGTCTTTTTGAGATAGGGTCTCATTGTGCAGTTCAGGCTGGCCTTGGGCTCCCTTTGTAGCCCAGGCTGGTCTCAATTTGCAATGATCTTCCTGCCTCAGCTTCCTGAGTTTTGGGATTATAGGAGTGTACCACCACACCCATCTTAATTTTCTATTTTCAGACAGGCACTCCATAAATTCCTAAATGGTCAGGCTGGGTTTAAAACTTGCAGTCCTCCTGCCTTAGCCCCTCAGAGTGCTGTGATTACAGGAATCCACCACCATGCCTGGGTGACAAAAGAACTACCTCTCAATCTTGCTGAAAATTATTCAGCTACCCAACAAAAGTGTGTCAAGGGAAGCCATTGAGATTCTTGTCGCAGATATGATGCTGGGGCTGCGGAGTTGAGGACCAAGCATCCCAACTCCAAGGCCACTAGGGTCTGAGTTACTGCTGAGGACAGAGTCTCAGTGGGATTCACTGGGGAGCTTGAGGAAGTCAACAAACTCTGTCCAGCAAAGTGTATGTGAGGAGTCAACAGCAAGGTCTGTGGCCCCAAAGACGGAAGGAACCAGTGATCTAGCAGGCATAATAGAAGGACGTATACCTTCTCTAAAGGGGTTTCGGGGGTTAGGTGTGTCATGGTGATATAGGAAACATATGATCCCCAAACCTGGTGGGAGTCACATGTCCCCAGTTTGCGGTCTTACAACATCAGGGAGTGAAGTCAGGAACCAAAGGAGGAAGTTCGGAGAGCTTTATTGGAAATAAGGAGAAAGAGAACAGCTGCTGGACTTCCAGGAGAGTAGCTGATACAGCAAAATCACAGTGTGGGTGCCATGTGGGTCAAGCTGCAATTGCCCTCTAGTGCTGCAAGTATAGTCACTTAGCTAACACCGATCCAATGAGGAAAAGGATCACATAGCAAGTGTACCTGGAAAGAACATCCCTTTGGGAAGGGAGAGGCATAAGCGTCTGGATGTTCTGGCCACTCTGGCCATCTGATGCCTAGCTGGGCCCACTGAGCCTGTAGGTGGTGTAATTATGGTATAGTCTCAGATTGCAGCTTATCTCTAGAGAGACTTGCAGGCCTGATCATCCCATCTCCATGTTGAGGCCTGGTCCTCTTCAGCTCTGCCCCAACCACCATCCTGATACCTTCGTGTATGTGCATGTGTGTGTGTGTGTGTGTGTGTGTTGACCTCTTCGAGGGCCTGATCCCGCTCTGTTGTATGTGAATTTCTAACCTAGCTGTCTATAATAATGGAAGCCTTTAAGCGGAGTGTCTTCATTACTTTTCTCATTGCTGAGACAAAATACCCAATACTCAAAGCTAAAGGAAAAAAGGTTTATTGTAGCACATAGATTGTAGCGTTTTCAGCTCAAAGCTAGCAGGCTCCAAGGCAGGGTGGCTCAGCAGAGGGGCATTGTAGAGCTGGCAGGCAGAAGACAGCACATAGCAAGTGACAACAGCAGCTCTCTTTCTGTCCCTCATATAAGGACTCCAGATGAGGCAGCCTTGATTCTAGCATCATACCATGAATCAATCCCAGTGTCACATCCTTAATCCTGGCATGACAAGCTCCAGATCCAGCCAGCTCTGAAAAGCCCCACCTAGGACCCCATAAGGCTCTGGGGAACCGTCTACACACAAACCCATGGTGCAGAGGCACCGAGAAACACCAGGACCAGGGCTTGTCTGGAGAGAAAAGGCAGGGGATCGAGAAGGAAGGTGATCTCCAGCCCAGCACACCATTCCTCAGGCCCCGCCCACGCACCTAGAGCCTGAGCAGAGGCCCCTGGAGCACCCATAGGCAGGCTAAGGGCTAAAGCTGCGTCCAGTCCCATGAGTGGTCAGGAGGCTCCTGCTGTGCTAATCCAAGGCCAGCATCGGGGTCAGGGTCAAGCGTCAAGAGTGTTTCCCCACCGGCTGCAGGACAAAGATGTGTCCCAATGTGCAGGCTCAAGGTGCTCTTTTCATCTCCTGCTGCCCTCAAAATAGATCTCAAAAGCTGTTTAGGACTTTTCTTCCTTCTGCATCTGAAATTTACTGCGGTGATCCATTTAATGGAGTCCTGATTTAAAAATATATATATCTTTTTGGTAGCAATGTTTTACTTTGGGTTTCATGTGCTCTAAAATATCTTTTCAGGGTAACAACTCTGTGGACCGGCAACCTCAGAATTTCAGAGCACTGTTTCTAAATAGTCTAATGATAGGCGAGTGTCTGTGATCATGTCAAATTGCTGGGCCTGATGATTTCCACTTCTATTCTAGAGGATTTTCTTTCTAAGATGCAAGTTAGGCAGGTGAGAGAATCGCAAGTAATAAATGTTAGAGCTAGGGGGCTGGGGATTTAGCTCAGCGGCGTAAGCTCCTGCCTTGCAAGCAGGCGGTCGTGAGTTCGATCCCTGGTACCGATAAAAAACCGAAAAAGCAAAAAAAAAAGTTAAAGCTGGGAACGATTTTGGAGAGAGGGAAAAAAGGATCCCAAATTTTACAACAATTTTTCATTGAAAGACTCCTCTCTTCAAGGGTATCTGTATTTCCCTCCCCAATTAGGCCCAGATTTGATGGGGAGAACTACTATTACAGTTTTCAGATTGAAATTTTTCCTCTCTCTCTCTGTCTGTCTCTCTCTTGTCTCCTTTTATTTGAGTCAGGGTAGTTCAGACTATGCAGTTGAGGCCAGCCTTGAACTTGTGGTGATCCTCCTGTCTCAGCCTCCCAAGTGCTGGGATCACAGGTTTGCATGCAGCACCATGCCTGACTTCTCAAGCAAATGTGGAAAACACTGATGAAGTGCGTTTGAGTCCTGACGGTCCCATGTTCAAGTGCAGTTGGATAAATTACACCATCTAGTATTGTGCTAAAGCCGTCTCTAATAGGTTTACCAGAGCTGGCTATTAAATTTTCAGCAATTTTACTAGCTATTTGTTAAATACAGCCATTATTAAATATTGAATGATATTGAAAGAAGGCAATTGAATTGATATTTGTAGACCAATGTTAATAGCAGGATTATTTGCATAAACTAAATATTATTTGAATAACCCAATTGTCCATCAACTGATGAATGAATAAACAAAATGTGTGGGCATATGCGTGCAAGAAAGTATAACTCAGGCTTTTAATACAGAGGAACAATGGCTTGATCATAGGCACTGCAAAAAGAAAAAAAAAATTCTGGCATATGCTGCAACATGAATGAATCTTAAAAGCATAAGTGAAATAGACCAGACATTAAAGAACAAATGCTGTGGTCCGGGGACATAGCTCAGCAGCATAAGTGCCTGCCTGGCTAGTACGAAGTCCTGAGTTCAATCCCCAATACAGAAACAAAAACGCGATATGAGTCCATTCATATGAAATGTATAGAACAGGGAAATTTCCCAAGACAAGAAGTAGAACAAAAGCTACCAGTATCATTGGGTGTGGTGATACCTGTGACCTCTGCATTCTGGGAGGGGAGGCAGAAGGACCACAAATTAGAGTTCAACCTGGGCAACTTAGCACCTTAGTGAGCCCTGTCTCAAATATTAACAACAAAAAAGAGGGTGGGAATGTAGGTCAGTGCAGAGGCCCTGGGTTCAATCCCCAGTACTGGAAAAAAAGTACTAGGTTTCAAGTGTGGGTTGATAAGGAATGAGTACAAGGTTCTGCCTGGGATGATAAGAAGGTTCTGGAAGTAAAGAGTGGCAGTGATTACATGGCATTGTGAGTATATTTAATACCACTGAATTATACAGTGTGTTTAAAAATGGTTAGGACAGAGACAGGAGGATTACAAGTTCGAGGCCAACCTGGGCTACTGAGAGAGTTCAAACCCAGCCTAAACTACATAGCAAGACCCTGTCTCAAAAAAATAAGGCTAAGATGGCAAATTTTGTTGTGTAGATTTTATATTAATAAGCTGAATTTGTTTAAAATTAAATATAGATTCACAATTATAAAAAAGATGGTTTTTATTTTTTTTCTTTTTGGTACCAGGGATTGAACTCACAACCTTGCACTTGCCAGGTTAGTACTTATGCTGCTGAGCTAAATCCCCAGCCCAAAAGGTGGTATTTTTATACAATGGAGTACTACTCAGTCATAAAGAGGATAAACTTGACACTTTTACAGGTAAATGGATGCAGCTAGAGAATATATTCGTAAGTGAAATAAATCAGACTGACATGTAAACATCATAGTATGTATTGTGAGGAGCTAAAAGAAATAATATATGTACATGTATATATATATATACATATATATGATAGTTAAACTAGCTATACTACTAATTTCTCTTAGTTCATTGAAAAGAAAGGTTTGTGATAATATTGTTTGGACAATTAAATGTAGATACCTTTTTTTTTGGTCTTTTTTTGAGGGAGGGTTTCACTATAAGGCTGGTCCTGAACTTGCTTTGTAGCTTAGGCTGGCCTAGGGGCTGGGGATTTAGCTTAGTGGCATAAGCGCCTTGCCTGGCAAGTGTGTGGTCATGAGTTTGTCCCCAGTACCGGTAAAAAAGAAAAAGGAAAAAAAAAAAAAAAGAGCCTCGAACTCATGGCAATTCTCCTGCCTCAGCCTCCTGAGTGCTGGAATTACAGGCATGTGCCTCTAGGCCGGACAAATGTAGATATCTTGTACTCTGAGTAACTAATTGAAAGATAACAAAATACAATGAATTAACCATTGTTGTCCTCTAATTATCATATTTTGAAATTTAGTTTTTTTCTCTTTAAAATTTTTAAAAATTCACAATTAAATAGATTATATTGAAAGCAAAGCCTTATTAAATACTAAGGGCAGGCTGGGGATTTAGCTCAGTGGCATAAGGACCTGCCTGGCAAGCGCAAGGTCGTGAGTTTGATCCCTGGTACTATACAAACAAAAAACGCCAACAAGACAAAAAAAGTACTAAACACTCAGCAATTCCTGTTTTTTCATTTCAGAACTACTTTTGCTTCGGAGGTGCTGCCTGCTGTCCGCTGCCTGACTCTGCCTTCGCCGTGTCCTTGTGTCACCTTGTAGTTGAGCTGTGGCTGCTGCGGCGGTATTTACACACAGAAACCCACAGCAGGACCAGTCCCGCCCCTGCTCCGCAGCCGGCTGGATGTTAAGCATTTACCAGCGCACCACTGACGCCAGCTGCAATTTTCTCAAGAGCACGGAGGAAACAGCAAAGCGTAGCCCGCAGGATTTCTCTGAGGATTGAATGAGACCGTGCAGGGGCAGAGGGCCCGGTGTGCTCTCCGTGTGCATTGAGGAAGTGTTCTGCCCTTTCACTACGGACCATGGCTTGGTGAAGGCAGAATTATGTTCAGTAGCCTCACTCCACCCATTTCCCCAGTCTCATTAGGAGAAAAATATCAGCCCCCCCTAAATATTTGCTGAATTGAATAAGTGATTGAATTTAGAGTTATTCCTAGTACCAATGAAGAAAATGTGATTTTTAAAATTTATTTATTTATTATTTATTTAATCAATACTAGGGCTTGAACTCAGGGCTTTCATCTCCGGCTGTTTCATTTATTTATTTTTATTCTGATGCAGGATCTCACTAAAGTTGCTAAATTGCTTAGACCGCACTCAGACTTGCAGTCCTCCTGTATCAGCCTCCCAGAGCACTGGGATTTCAAGAAAATATTATTATCCTAACAGCTGGCTCCAGAATTACTTTAGTAAAAGAAACAACTTAAAAAACCACTAGGGCAGAAGGTGAGACCTAAGAGCACGGCAAGAGTCGTTTTTTTTTTGTTTGTTTGTTTGTTTGTTTTTTTTCTTTTTCTTTTTTCCAGTACAGGGGATCGAACTCAGGATTGCCTCCTTGCAAGGCAGGTGCTTATGCTGCTGAGCTAAATCTACAGCAAAAGGGCGATCATCAGAAGGAGACCGCTAAACTTCTCTGAAAGAGAAAATGAGAATCTGACCTTTTGTTTCTGATATAGAAAAGGATAACAGGAAGAAGTGGAAGGTAGAAAGGGCTCTGCAGAAATAGAAGCTAATAAAATAGACTGTGGTGAGAGACCTGGGATAAGTGTGGGATTGGGGAGGATGAAGGTGACAGTTCACATAAAACATTCCAGGAAGGTGGGTGGGAGCCTCAGCCTGGATTGCATTTGTTGTAAGGTACCAGAGGCAACTGCTTATTTATTTTTAAAAAATTTTTGTTTAATTCGATTTTTTATTAGTACATGTTTGGGGGAATTTTTCTTGGGCAGGGGATATCAGAAATTGAACTCAGGACCTCACGCTTGTCAGGAATGCGCTGTGCCACTGAGCTAAATCCCTAGTCTACAATTGTTTATTATAACACAAAATACTCCAGTGAAGTTCCTGGTCTCCTAGAGATCTGAACATGTGTTTGTTTGAGAATAGGATGAATTCAAAAGACTCTGGGGGGCGCCCTGTTTGGGCCTAGGCTGCCAGTCAGCAAACAGAGGGACAGCTACAAGATGCACTACAAGGTAAAAAAAATGTGGCAGAGGCAGGACACACAGAAAAGATCACTATGGGCTGGGGATATAGCTCAGCTGCGTAAGTGTCTGCCTGCATAGTACAAGACTGTGAGCTTGATTCCCAGTACCAAAAAAAAAAAAAAAAAAAAAAAAAAAAAGACCAGTATGACAAGAGAAATTCTTAGGACTATGGAGAAAATTGAGAAACATTTTGGACTTCCATGGTCTATAGCAAGGATGGTGAGCATTTCAGAGACGCAGTGCCCAAACTACAACCGTAAACACCCTTATTTATTGCAACTGGCTAAACACTGCAGTTAACCTGAAGCTGAGGTTTTGGTTTAGAAAGAAACAGCTGCTATCCAATGCTCAGCTGCTGGGATGACTTGGCTCCTGTGCTGACAGAGAGCTCTGTGTGCCTGCTGTGGCGCATGAGCCTAGGTTCACCACCAGTGCTCTATAAATCGGATCTCTAAATCAATTTCTCTAAATTTTAAGGAGCCACGGGATACTTAACTAATAGGTTGCACTCAATTACTTTGAAATTTTTAGAGCTATGTGACTTTCCATTGATCGACCAGTAAACATTCATAAATTTTAGCTTATTTTATACTTCAGAGTTTTAGACTTGGAGAAAATTTTTTCTGAACTCCGATGTGGATTACAAATGCTCTCAATAAACCTCTAAAAACTAGGGCCAATATAGAGTCAAATTACCTTGTTCTCTTATGAAATGAGTTTTGATGCCTATTAAAAATTGTACTCTTCAAAAAAAGAGCAGAAAAAGGGACAGATAGTGCAATAGATTGACCAATGGTCCAGCTGAACTGAACAGCATTATGCCCAGCTGAACTGAATCAGCGTGGCCCTGGGTGTGGAAGGCCAGCACATAGATGCAGCCTCAAAGCAGAACTGGGGGGAAAGATGGTACTGGTGATTCTCCTGGAGAAGCTTGTCGAGCTGGATTTCCTGATATGAACTTGGCTGTTCTCATTGTTAGATGAGCTCAGGACCTCTCTGTCACTGAGGATGACTCTCTCCCAGGGAGCTCTGGTCCTTACCTTGAGCGTTGCTTCCTGGTTCCAGTGCAGATTTCTCAGTCTGCTGTGCAGATCCTTCACTCTGCTGGTGCAGACTTTCTAGTTTCCACTGCTGACCTTAGAGCCTTCCCAGTACAGATCCTTGATACAGACTTGCATAAGACATCGGCATGGGCTCTAGGTCTTCAGCTGGACTCGTGCAGGACATTGCCATGAGATCTAGGCCCTCAGCTGGATTCTTTGGGCCTTTAGTGTGTGCCTTTAGTGTGTGGACAGATATCCTGCACTCTTTTGCATTTGATGCTTTGGATGAATATTATAAAATATATAAATTATATGTCCTGTATTAAATACATTCCCTGTAAACCCTGACTACAACAGATAGTAGCTTTTCAATGGAGAAGTCTGGCAAATACTACATTGACCAGGCAAAGGACACCACATTACTGAGATGTCTATGGATAGCGTGTTCTCTTAGATATGATGTGCTGAAAAAGGCAACCTCTGGAGTTCTCTCAAGATATCCATTGCCAGGGCCAGGGGCTTAGCTCAGTGGCACAAGCGCTTGCCTGGCAAGTGCGAGGTCATTAATTCGATCCCCAGTAGCAAAAACAAAACAAAACGTAACAAAACCCCCCACCCATTTCCCCAATCTCATTAGGAGAAAAATATCAGTCCCCCGCAAATTGGGGCTCTATCTGATGAGTATGACTTGAAACTGTAAAGTTTATGAAAACAAGGAAAGACCAGGGGAATATCATGGAAGAGAAAAGCTGGGAAGAGACACGACAGCTAAATAACAGTGTGGTACCCTGAATTGAATCCTGTGACAGAAGGTGAACATCAGAAGAAGAACTGGTAAAATCTAGACAGTCTGGAGCTTAGTTAGTAATATACCTGTGCTGATATCTGCTTCACGATGGTCTCACAGTGATAATCTTAACGCTGAGATGAAGTTGGGTAAAGAAGACTTGTATGATCTTTATAACTTTGCTATGAATCTGAAATTATTTCAAAATAAAAAAATTTAGGGCTGGCAATGTACCTCAGACACAGGGTCCTTGCCTCACATGCACAAATCCCTGGTTCAGTTCCATCCTCCCTTTTTAAATTTGAGTTGCAGCCAGGAATGGTGGAGCAGGCCTGCAATCCCAGCACTCCTGGAGGCTGAGACAGGAGGATTGAAAGTCTGAGCCCAGCCCAGGCAATTTTTTAAGACAATTTTGCTGCAAAACAATTTTTTTTTAAAGGCTGGGAATGTAGTTCAGTAGGAAGGCTTTGAGTTCAATCCCCATACCAATTTTTTTAAATAAAAAACAAATAAACAAAAAAACTCATTACCTGGCCTTTGGTATGGCCTAGAGAGCCCACAAACCCTTAGGTCCCTGGGTTTTCTATGTAAGGAAATATAATGATTTGATTTATTTATGCCACTTGGCAGAATATGTTTCAAGAAATCTTCATTAAGCATGTGATGGAGAATCCCTGTTGGCAAAGAAACAATATCTTCTTTCCTACATTCTGTTAGCCTGCAGAAGAGATGCAGGACCTGGTGTGGTGGCACAGTCCTATAATTCCAGCTACTAGGGAGGCTGAGACAGGATGATCCTACCCAAGGCTATTCAAGGCAACTTAGGGAGACCATGTCTCAAAATTTGGTTTTTGGAGACCGGATCTTGCTCTGTAGTACAGAAGGGCCTTGAATTCACCATGTAGCCAGGCTGGCCTTGAACATGCAGTGATACTCTTGTCTCAGTCTCAGTGTACTGTGTTTACAGGTGTGCACCACCACACCTGGCTCCAAAACAAAAATATTTTAAAAGAGCTAATATGGTGAGCATGGTAGCACATGCCTGTAATTCATTATGTCACCACAGACTGGCCTCAAACTTGTGGCAGTCTTCCTGGGATTATAGACATGTGCCACCATGCTAGGCAACTTGAATCATTTGTAAGAAAATATGTGTACCTTGGAGACCATAACGCTAAATAAAATAAATCAGACACACAAGTTTAATATTGCCTGGTTTCTATTATATGGGAGACCCAAAGTATAAATAAAGAGGCTGGATGCATGGCACATACCTGCAATCCCAGCACTTGGGAAGCTGAGGCAGGAAGATTGCAGTAAGTTAGACTCTAGCCTGGGCTACATAGTGAGATGCTGGATTAAAAAAAAAAAGAGCAAACTAAAAGGTAGATAACAGGAAGTAGGGAGATAGATCTTTTTCAAAGGGAAAGGATATCAAGAGATGGAGGAAGGAAGGAGGGGAAGGAAGGGAAAGAAAAAAAAGGAATTAAGATGTTTTATGTACATGTACCAATTCCCCAGAAGGAGTATAAACATTATAGACTACAAGCATGTGTAGTAAAATAAATAAATAGGTAAATGCAGAACCCTCAAATAAAAACTAAAAGGAGAAAAAAAAAAAAGCTACTTTTGTCCTTTCCTAGTCTCTGACTGTGGAGCCCAGGCGGGCCTCAAACTCATAGCAATGCTGCTGCTTCGGCCTCCTGAGGGCTGAGTATGTACCATCACTCCCTGTTAGAGTAATTCTTTTTTATTTGTTTTTTTTTTTAATGAAAAAATAATAAGAACTATTATACAGATTTTACAACAAAATAATAGATTAACAATAATTAATATATTGCATTTTGTTATCTTCAATATAGTTGTTCAGATTACAAGATATAGTCATGAAATGAAAAAAGATCAATCAGTGAAAGCACAAACTTTTTTTTTTTTTTGGTACAGGAATTGAATTCATGACCTTATGCTTGCCAGGCACCGTGCTGCTGAGCTATATCATTGCTCAAACCACTCTTTGTGATGAACTAATAGAGATTAGTAGTATAATTATCTATCTTGTGAGAGAGTAAAACCAAATGAGAAAAGAATAAAATGGTTTAGTCAAAACAAAAGGATGGACGTAGTACATGACTTAAAACCAAAACACAAGTGATCTACAATGGTTACCATGATGTCTCTTGTTATCTTCCATAGAATTGCTCCGATCATCAGGCACATCGCAGTATAGAAAAAAATCAATAAAAACAAAACATTGGAGACATTATAGGACTTCAAAAGAAGATAATAGTCAAACCAGAACGGGTATCAGAGTGAATCTTACTGTCTTCAGAGTAGTTCCCTACTCTCAGACTTGATACTATTAAACAACAGATTCGAATAAAATCAGTCAAGAGTTTGATCAAACAAAACATTCAAATAAAATCAGTTAAAACAAGACGGTGAAAGCAATACAGGGCTTCAGATTAATTTAACAGGAAATAAAAAATGGTTACCATAGTATGTTCTGCTATCTTTGGAACAGCTGTCCATGTCCTCAAATCTAGTACAAGCAGACAAACTGGAACAGAATATAATCAAACTAAACAGAGCAATGAAAACTATTGGTTTCAAATCATGATACAAGATTAACAATGTCAGGGCCAGGATTTAGCTCAGTGGCATAAATGACTGCCTGGCAAGCGTGAGTTTGATTTCCAGTACTGTTAAAAAAAAGGGGGGGGGCTTAGCTCAGTGGCATAAGCACCTGCCTTGCAAGTTCTTGGTCATGAGTTCAATCCCCAGTACTGATTTTTTAAAAATTTTTTTAAATTTTTATTTTAAAGGGGGTAAAATTAAACACAACAAAACAGAACAAAATAAGACATAAGAAAGCAATATAAGAGATACAAATTTCAAAGCTATACAACCTGAGATCTTCACTGTCTATCATATTGTCTCTTGTTTTCTTCCAAATAATTGTCCATGTCTTCGCATACAGAGAATTCATACAAAACAACATAGTATAAAACTGATTCGAACAGAACGAGGAAGGCAATTTAGGTCTTCAAAACCAGACAATATGGAAGTCACTAATGGCTGTCGTAGAGTCTTTCACTCTCTTCAAAATAGCTGTCCATACTTTCATGTATATTGAAGTTCAACAAAACAAAACAGGCAGCGGGGAAGGGTTGCTTGGTTTCCTGGCGCTCAAGGTCCCAGCATGGCGCAGGTCCCAGTAAAGGCCACTGGCTCCCGTCGTGGGCCACTGGAGCCTGCCATGTTCACAGCCGCTCACAGGGCGGGAAGGGGTTGCTTCAAGCTGTTTCATTCTAATGAATTGACCATTTCACTACCCGAGTTCTGAAATGACCAACAGATCATAGAAAGACATCTCTTTAGGCTTCTGCTTGAAACCAACAGAGTCAGGAAGCTGCCGGCCTTGATTCAGGGCCAGCCCAGTACTGACTAAAAAAAAAAAATTAACAATGTCCTCTGCCTTCCCTTTTTAGACAATACTTCCCCTTTCACTTTCAAAGGGGCATTGTACAGTTTGTATTCCACTAACTCCTTTAATTTTTAGATTAGGGAGGCAACCTGTTATTTACCTAAATGGTTCTGAACCTTTTTACCGCTGAGCTTGATCTCAAGTTGTATTCCTTTACCTACAAGAGCCTTTAGGTTTTCCTTCCTTATAGCTGAGTGGTTCTCCATTGTATAAAAGTGTCCTGTCTTTCCAACTAATCTGCAGCTGAAGGGCAAGCTACCCCTACTTTTTTCTGGTTCTTTGTCACATAGAGAATTATTTTCTCATCTTTGACTTTCAGTCCACAAACCTCTTTTTGGCTAATTATATTTCTTATACAGAGCATCTTGATGAACCCTATTACCTGATCCATTTTGCTTGTGTTTCTTTTTATTAGTTTATTGAGGCCATTCATATTAGCGATTTTGGCCCACCTTCTTTGCCACGCTAATTTTCTGTCATTGTTTATCTACTTTTCCCCTTCATTCCAGTGTCTGCCCCATTCAGTGAACCCCCTCTGCCACTGTTCCTGAAGCCATGGTCTTTTTTCTCTCTCTCTAGAATGTTTTTCAGTATTTTTTGTAGGGTTGGATTGGTGGTCATGAACTCCCGCAGTCCCTCTTTGTCATGGAAGCATCTTGTTTCTCCATTAATTTTGAGAGATAGTTTTTCAGGGTACATCAATCTAGGTTGGAGGTTATTTTTTTTCAGGGCTTGGAATACTTCACTACAAGCTCTTCTTGATTTGATGGTTTGTGTGGAGAAGTCTGTCATGATTCTGATGGGTTTTCCTTTATAGGTGATCTGTTTCTTTTCTCTGACAGCTTTTTTTTTTCTTTTTCTTTTTTTGTCTTTTCCCTTTTTATTGGTACCGGGGATTGAATTCACGACTGCCTGCTTGAAAGGCAGGCACTTATGCTGCTGAGCTAAATCCCGAGCCCCTCTCTGACAGCTTTTAATATTCTGTTTTTGTGTTGAATTTCTGGGATCTTGATTATTATATGTTTGTGTGTACATCTATTTTTGTTATAGCTGGCTGGATTTCTGTATGCCTCATATATCTGAGTATCATTTCCTTTTCCTATGCTTGGGAAGTTTTCTTTAATTCTTTAATTATTTCTGTAAATAGCCTTTGTATTTCATTTGTGTTTACCCCTGATTCTTTACTCACATTTTTTATTCTTAAGTTATAGATCTTCTTGTCATTTTCTAGCCTTTGTATTGTTACTTCCTGATTCCTTGTTAATTTTAAGAGATCTTTTCTTTCATGATCACATGTTGCAAACCTGTCTTCAAGGTTTGACAGTCTATCTTTAGTTTCTTTCAAGCAGTTTTGCCAGCTTTCAATGGAGTTGTTGTTTCCTGGTAATCTCTTTTAATCTGTTTCATGTATTCTAGATTTTTAAGAAATATTCTTCATTGAAAGTTTCCCTCCTTTTTCTATGCTCCTCCATTCTTCCATCTGTGTCTTCTATTTTTTTTTTTTGCTTTTTCCTTTTTATCGGTACTGGGGATTGAACTCACGACTGCCTGCTTGAAAGGCAGGCACTTATGCTGCTGAGCTAAATCTCCAGCCTCTCCATCTGTGTCTTCTTGAGAAGTGCTTAGCATTTCTTTTATTATTATTATTTTTTGTCTTTTTCGTTTTTATTGGTACCAGGGATTGAACTCATGACTGTACACTTGCAAGGCAGGCGCTTATGCCACTGAGCTAAATCCCCAGTCCCTATTATTTTTCTTATATCTTCCTTTAGTTGTATTAGTGTTTCTGTTTTAAGTTCTTTTATAATGTCATGAAGATAGTTCTTTATGTCAGAGGCTGCTTCTTCAGAAACTGCAGGTACGCAACCCCCGATCTCTTCTGTGTTTACCTCTCCTTGGCCAGTACTGTTTGGGTTCAAGGCTGGAGACTTCTTTTTGTTTCTTCTTCTCGTCATGTTTCTGGTTTCTTCCAGACAAGTGGATAGTGGGAGTCCCTGGCACTTCTGCAAGCCAGTGCAAATCTCTGGTCCACCACTCCCCTCCGCGAGGGTGTCTGCCTGCTGAGGTCCTCGGGCTTGCCAGTCCCCAACTGTACCACAACCATGGTGCGTCTTTGGATTCCAGTGGCATTTCGCACACAGTGGGACTGGCTCCGGTAAGAGTGCATCTGGCTACAGCCTCCTGTCCATGTTTTTATTTTCTTTCTTTCTTTTTTTTTAAACTTTAGTTTCTTCCTGGGTCAAGAGGATCTATCACCTTCCATCTGGTCTTCTCCAGGCTGCTATATTCCCGCATTTGAGCTGTTTTTCTCAGAGAGGCTTTTTTTTTTTTTTTTTTTAATCAGTACCAGGGAGCAAACTCACAACCGCCTGCTTGCAAGGCAGGTGCTTATGCCGCTGAGCTAAATCCCCAGCCCCCTCAGAGAGGCTTTGCTGCTTATTGATCTGCCATTTTCCCAGCTTCCTGTATGTGTATGTATGTATATATATATATATATATATATATATATAGCTTTTTTCCTCTCTTATCTTTTCCTCTGTCCAGTTGTTCTTTCCTTTTGAACAGTTTCTTTCACTTTCACTCTCACAAGATCTATTGTACATTTTGGATATTACTTTTTCAGCTTTTTACGCTAGGGAGAAAATATATTTACACATATGAGTCTGATTTATTTCACTTTTGAGTATGGTCTCAAGTTACATCCATTTATCCATAA